AAGTGAGTTCCAGGAAAGGCGCAAAGCTACACAGAGAAACCCTGTCTCAAAAAACCAAAAACCAAACCAAAACAAACAATGTAATTGTCATTTGCAAGAATAATTTGCCTAAAGAAGTTGAATTCTTTTCAAACAGTGTCATTTGTATAGAGAAGTGTGTCTTTTTATAGTTATTTTACAGGCACAGAGGCCCTGCCCAACTTGGTTTTCTAATATTTGCAATTACATTAATATATTTAAATTCAATCTCTGACCTCCACAGACACATGCACATGTGTATCCATGCACCTATACACATGTACATAGCACTCCTCCTGACACACACACACACACACACACACACACACACACACACACACACGCACGCACACGCACGCACGCACTCATGCATGCACGCACACACTCACGCATGCACGCACGCACGCATGCACATGCACATGATCAAGAATAGGAAAAATAAAAAGAAATCCCACCAGTGTCCGAACAGCCCTGTTTGGCCCTTAGGAAGATCTTTGGAACTGTCAGGTCAATACAGTACACTTCCTTCACCCCGTTACACCAGAAGTCAGGGCGAATCACCCCTCGGAAAGTTCAGGTACCAGGATAACCGGAGCACTTTTCAAAAAAGATTGAGTTTGTGGGGCAGGGCTCACACGGCCTCTCTGTTTATCCAGGTACCTGGGAATGATAACGAGCCCCGATGCTATCAAGATGTCCCCTTCATAAAGATGCGCGATGTGGCAAGACAGAGGCTGTTCTTCCTGCTGCTTTTCCCAGGGTAGCTTTCAGAAAACAAGACATCAGCTCTGTGAAGCAATGCCCCCAGAGCATATTCACAGAACTGTGGTCGTAACACAGAGAGATGTTCAGAAGTTATCAGATCTGCTTTTTCCCTTCTGGCGGGATGACACCATCCATACGCCATGTTGTAGGAGCCGACTCATGGGCTCTAGATCACTGTTGCTCCGGTGGCAACAATAACCGTCCATGCCACGCCTGTCTTAGGTCCTTGCATTCCCAGGAAGAACATGGCTTTCATAGGGCCATAAAACAATCAGCTGAGGGCTATAATTAGCAGAGAGAATTAAATGTTATAAGTCCATGGAAGAAACCATAACCAAGTTCACCTGGACGTGGTGTGTTTGCAGGATGGGAAGATCAAGGAGGAATATTGAAAAAAAATGTTTCAGAGAAGTGCTGATTGTATGGATGATTTGAAGAATAAATTTAATATTTCCTGGCAGAGATATTTAAGAAAGTTTTTCCAGGTTGTCTCAATTTAAGAAGCATGAGGCAGGGACATCATGCTGTGGTTGAAGGATGATGAAAATTTTCCCTTAGTGAATGTGTAGAGGATAAAGAGGAGGAAGAGACATTTAGAAAAGTAGATGGGTACAGATCTTAAATGATTCACTGTGTTGCAATGAGAATTTTTATAAGGATTTGGATTTTATCCTCAAGGCAATGGGGAGCATTCAAGTGTTTTAAGAAGGGCAGCAGAGAGATAAGATTTATCACCTAGAAAGATCACGCTGGCACTGCTTGGAAGCAGAACTGGAAGCTAGCCAGAAAAGAGACAGAGGTATGAGGAAGCCTCTATTTGCCACCATGTGGGAGGTGAATGGGACTGTTTCTGGGGTGTAGAAAGGAGGTTAAAACTAGCAGACATGCAGAAGAAAGACCAAACAGAACTTGCTGTTTTGTGGGAGTAAGAAATATGGGAAGAGAAGCTTTAACATGAGTAAAATCCCTTGAATGAAGTGATGGAGGAAAAGGTCTGACCTGGTATCACAAACACTTAAGGGAGAGAAGTCCAGAGATGACGTCTAGAGGAGAAAGACTGATAACAGAGTTGATGTATACAGATGAGAACATTCAGATGAGAGAGCTGGTTAAGAGCATCAAATGGGCCAGAGAGGTTGAGTAGGATGAGGATTGAGATGAGTTTATAGATTCGTCATGGAATAGATGAGTAAGGCCATAGAAGGGCAGAAGGGGAAGAGAGTGTATTATTTTAATAAAGGTGTATGTGTACGTGTGTGTGTGTGTGCATATGTGTTCATGTGTGTGTATGTGTATTTGCTGTTCCAGATGGAAAAGAGCTAAACTTTCCACATTGAACCCAGTGTACAGAGCTCTTTACACCAAATCTAACCAATATACAATAAAGGATGGAGATAATGACCATAAGTTTCAAGTGAGATTGGAAGGGTCCTGGTCTATGTGGTC